TGTAGGTATACTTATATACATATACATCATGCAGGAGTTACTGTAAAAGGCCACACCCACTGAAAAGCAGGGAGGATATCATACTTGAGACAGGATGCCTGGCTGTCGAAACCAGCAGTAGTGATCCTGGTGGCCTCTGTAGCCTTTGATGGTATGGGAAAAGTATTCCAAAAGCTCTTCAGTTTTTTGTTTCCCTTTCACCTTCCATGCAACAACACAGCAGCAAGGGCCTTCTGCTACACCTTCTGTACCTACATAGCAATACCATTTGCATTAGTCCAGTTATTATACTGTAAGTGTTCAAGTATGTAGACGATGAGATTACCAACAAAAGAAAAGAATGACTTATATTGGGGGAAAAAAGACCATATCAGAGCAGAAGTCTCAGGGTGAATATCCCATAATCTCCTGAGAGGCCACAACAAATTTTTATGGAGCAATATGACTACTCAAGTAGCCACTTTATGACAATAAACACCCAAAATCGAAAAATCCTTGGGTAACATAATTACTGAGAATATAGAGAGAAAGTAACCATTTAATCCAGAGCATGTGTTCTCTACCACAAGAACTCAATAGCTGACATCACATGGGGTGTGGCTGGTCTAGGCCCAGGAAACGAATTCTGGAGAGTTGAAGTCAGACAGTTCTCTGGCTGGGCTTGAAATCCAACAACCAAGCAGGTCTGACAGAGCCTAAGGCTGCTGACCTGGGCACAGAGCAAGGCCCTCCTGTTTACTTGCATTTTGCTTCTGGAAGGAGTGGCTGTGGTGGATGAGTTAAGGCTGTGGTTATAGGGTGTTGCCAGTGATTTAATTTTAATATTTTTACCCTTACATTTTGTGCAGACTGAAGGCTTTGCACAATCACATGGCTCCCTATCATCTACCTCTCTCTACTGGGCACTTTGTGTACTATTGTAAACAGTAATGTAAGTAGTGTTACAACAAGGTTTGAGTCTTAAGTGTAGACTCTGTAGACTAAAAAAATAAATAAATTTGACTTACAAAAGGAAAACAAGTGAACACTGGGAAAAAATATAGAACCCTACAGTCTATTCTCATGATATTTTCAAAAAGTAAATGACATCGGGAACCAGCAGTTAGCGTAATGGCTATGTCGCTGGACTCCCACGTAGTGGACCGCGGTTGGTGTCCCGGACCCGGTGGCTTAAAACTCACGCCGGGCGCGTGTGCGTGCGTGCCCAGGATCCCGACAGGAGAATGGAGGAGAAGGGATTGCGGCGTGACCATCCCCCCTGGGGGGTGATTTCTCGCTTTCTGTCTCTATGTCTCTCTCTGTCTGTCTGGCGAGCGCACGCGCCCTATAGCGAAAAAACCTCTCCAAAAAAAAAAAAAGTAAATGACAGCGATCTATGACTACAACCTATTTCAGCAATTATTTACTAAAATCAAAGTTGTTTTCTAAATATAAAAGATAATGGTGGTATCAACTTTGAATAAAACTCTTCAGAGATTTTTTTTTTCTTTTTTTGGCGAGGTTTTTGCTATAGGGCGCGTGCGCTTGCCAGACAGAGAGAGACAGAAAGCAAGAAATCACCGCCCAGGGGGGGATGGCCACACCGCAATCCCTTCTCTTCCATTCTCCCCTTGGGATCTTGGGTGGGCAGGCACGCACACGTGCCCAGCGTGAGTTTAAGCCACCGGGTCCAGGACTCGAACCGCGGTCAACTACATGGGAGTCCAGCGACACAGCCATTACACTAACTGCTGGTCCCACTCTTCAGAGATTTTTTAGCTCTTTTTCATTCATCAACATGCATGCACAAGTGAGTAAACTTATTTATCAAAAAAAAAAGAATACTTTTTCAAATGAGTTTGTACCATTACCGGTTTTGTACTACCATTCTGTATTAAAATACAAACTACAGAGTAGATTAATGAACTTGACACTCTAAGAAACTTGTTTCTCTCACAATATTTAAAAAAATAAAAATCTGAGACCAGTGGTAGCATGGTAGTTAAGGTGCTGGACTTCCCACATGGCTGACCACAGTTCAAGTCCCAGACCTGGCGCCTTGCTTTCTCTCTTTCTCTCTCTCTCTCTCTCTCTCTCTCTTTTTCTCATGAACTCATGTGAAATAACAAATAGTATAAAAAAATTCTTAAAAAAAAAAACAAACACCCTGATTTTGTACGATTATTCTAAAGTTAATTAATTTGTACAAATATGAAACTCCATGCTTTCTATATTGTATATTGAAAAAAATGTCCAGGACCTTCATATGTTCAGCTTTTTAACAATATAATTTCACTGGGCATTGTTACTCAAAACTCTAGCTCATTACTGGCTTGCATTTAAAATGCCCTCCCGAGGAGCCTGGTGGCTGGCCCATGTGCTTCTAACCTGTTTGCGGATTCCTACGGATGTAAGAACAGATCATCTCTCAAAGTTGATAACAGCCTGCCTCATAACAGAATATCTAAAATTCACTCTGAAGCTCTTAAAATGCCATGTTTTTCTTTACTGGAGGATGGAAGAACAACGTACATACCTCACATGACCATAAAGAACACTGTGGACAACATAAGCCTGATGCTCACTCCTGAGAATGACGCGAAGCATCCTGACTTGCTCTCACCTTTGCCTGGGAAGACTGAGTGCATGGTGTCTGCAGTAGCTTCCCTGGCGGTGCACACACAGGCTGCAGCTGTAGTAAACAACCACCAGCCCAGAGTTGCTAAGGTCAAGGTCTCAAATGCTATACCAGGACCATTTCCTCCCAAATGACATGCATTTCTAGAAAAGGAACTTTGGGGGAGGGAGAGGGTATCAAGGGCTCATTAGCACAACCATGTTCATTCAATAAATCTTAATAAAAAGCATTCTACAATAAAGTTCAGCTGAAGTTTCTTTTAAATATGCATTACTGAGTAGTAGATAAATAACTCAAGGACTTCAAAAATAAACAGTAACCCTTCAGAGAATGTTTTACTTAACCGGACAGCAATAATGGTTACAGTTTTAGTTCATAAATTACAAAAACTGCACATGAACACATTCCAAATTTTACCAGCTTAAGTATATTTCACAATAATTATGAATTAGAATAATAAGCCTCTTTCCTGAATATATTACAAATATCTCCAGTTCTTGTATGTTCAAATTGCTCTCCCCAACTCAAAAGCACTCAATATACTCTATCTAGTATTAAGACTGATCAGGCTGCAGCAATGAAGATATAACTTATGCAACTGAAACGTTTGTCCTTCAACATCCTATTTCTACTAAGCTTCTACAATTACAATTTTTCTAACCCAAAAGTATACCCCTTTAACGTAACCAATTTCTATGGGGATTTAAAAATGTAAACAACATGTAAATGAATCCTGCAATTGCACAACCAGGCATTTTCCTTTTTTTTTTGGGGGGGGTGGAGGTCTACTGTCTTAAATAAACGTCTATTCTAACACCATTTCTTAGAAGATGATATACACCCACTCTTCAAAGTGACCACTCCTATACTCGTCACAAGCTACTGCTTGCTAAAAACCACCAAATTTATTCCAAAGCATTTACTTATCTAAACAACTCTATCCTCCACTAAGAAAAGGGCACGGAGGCGTCTAGGTGGATTTGCAGAATGACGTGTATTTGATTGGCAGATGTCTACCGAAGCAACTAGATGCACATGCACTAAATGTAAATAGAGCCGTTCCTCTCTCTGGTGTTACAGGGAGACGGAAAGAATATTAATGCTGATTTAAAATAAAATATCCCAACGCTCGGCTGAAAATTCTATTAGCCAGTGGAATTATTTAAAACAATTCACACAGAACGATACTTAAGCCATCCGTACAGTTAAATTAGAGAGCTGACAATATTGACCACACAAACTGTTTATCCAGATTACACATTCCGTTGTACTAATACTCTTTAACTCAACACAGTCAGCTTTTATCAGCTGAATTAAGGCTATTACTATTAAAGTATGCAAAACTCGAAGCGCAGGGTGAAGGGGGTTGGGAAGCTGCAGGGCATATAACAAAGGAATTGGTACTTTTTCCAAGCTTTTGCCTCAAATGTACTGCGAAACAAAACTGTTGAGTGCACCCCACCCTTTTCCCAAAGATAAAAGTTTTCAAAGTTCTACTAGGCAGGTTCTCCACCCAACAAAAGCAGGATTGATTCTCCCGGTAGGGGAGCATCTAACAGGAACACCAACTAATGTCGCGGAGGTCAAGTCCGAGCCCTCGGAGCCAGCTTCTAAGGCAATAAGTGGCTCCCAGACCGGCTCCGCGGGCTGCCCGGCCCAGGTGGACGTGCAAAGTTGGCCCTTGTCAACTCCGGCCAGGTCACCCGTAATTGAAAATAACTGCCAGGGGCCAGCCCCTGGCTACTAGCATGGACCAGGCACTGTAGCAAGTGACAGTTACACATCATTAGGACCGGAGACAATAATGAATGTAGCACCAGGACCACTATTCATGCCAGCACTGTCATCTCCACCTTAACCCCTTCCCCTCCACTCGCTCCAGCGCACACACACAGCCCACACCACCCCGGTGCCGCAGCTATTCGTCGAGCCCGCTCAGTTCCTGGGGGCCAACTACTTCCACGAGCGTACCCCCCGCCCCATTCAGCCCTGGGGTTTGATTTCTCATCCTTGGCAACTGTCAGGCAAACACTGCAACCAACGATCCCACTAGGGGTAGAAAAACATTTGCTTAATTCACGTTAGTTGACAAGTTCTTTTTTAAAAAATTTAGGGGAGGGGGGAGGAAACCTCCTCCTTTCTTCTCCACGAATCCGACCGACGCTACTTGCTTTGCGATACCATCGCCCTTCCCCGGCCCCCTCCCGCTTCCCAACACTTTCCCCCTTTAAGAACACAGACCAACCGAAATGATTTAACTTGAGCAGATGACAGAAGGAAAATAAAACATGTTAAGAGAATACGGTCTGATTTGGGATGGCAAAAAAGAGAGAGAAAGGAGGGGGGGTTATTTATTTTGATAAGAAACGGAATCGGCACAGACCTGAACAGAAGCTGCAGAGCAGGAGAAATTGTTTTCTTTCCCTCACACAGAGTCCCCCTCTCTCTCCCTTTCTCTCACACACGCGCGCGCACACACTCACTCTCGCACACACACGGCGTCACCCGCGCACACTCACACGCACACGCACAAGCAGAGCCTCTCAGCTGCTCTCTGCAGTTCTCAGGAAATGAATGGGGGGCAACCCAGGGAACTGTTGTACTTGCAAATGACTTACCCGGATCACATGATGCGCTAAATGTAGGGTGGGCCGGTGGGTGGAGGCTGCCGAGAC